TATGAATGCAAGGGCCCAAATTAAACGCGCAGCACAGATCAGCTTAATCGTGAACACTGCGCGTCAGGGCGAGGGGGAGGATGGGTCATTTGTCCCCAAGTGACCCCGCAGACCCGACCTCCGCCGGCTCTTACCGCTCTTGGGTTTAGACTCGCCGGCCGGCCCCGCCGAGGCGGAGCGGGGCGGCTGTTGCCCTTTGCTGCTGCCCGAGGAGGCGGAGGAGCTGTTGGAGCCGCTGTTCTTGTCCATGTCGGAGGCGGTGGCGGCGGCGCTGGGGGAGCTCTGCGGCATCAAAGGGGGCCTCGGCGGCGACGGCGGTCGGAGCGGAGCGGGCGCGGCGGGGACCCAGGCTCATGGCGTTCAGGGCCGGCGGGGGTCGGCGGCGGCAGCGGTTCTCGGCCTTCATGGCGACATTTTTCCTTGTTTCCTTCCTCAGCTTCTCAAAATGGAAGGAGAAGCGACAGGTGGGGCTTTGGGCCCAGCGGCGGCGGAGACCGGAGAGGAGGAGGAGGAGGAGGAGGAGGAAGCCGGGGCTCGGAGGTCCGGGCCGGGCCTGGCGGGGCGGAGGCTGCGGGGGAAGGGGGGTGCGGGAGGGTCGCGAGCCCCGCCGGCCGGCCGGACACGCTCTCCCGCCGCGGGGCAGGAGAGAGGGCTGGCTGTCTCGGTGTCGGGGACCGGGGTCTCCGACACAGCGACCGACACTGGCCGAGGCCGAGCTGCTCCGGGAATGGCGACGAGTCGCCAAACAGCATCTCCAAGAACCCGGATGAACTATTTATATAGTCGCCCAGCGGGAGTGATGCATTCTGGGAGGTGTAGTTTTTCATTTACATCCGGGTCCTGTAATGGCTCCCTCCCACATCCCTAGGGGATGGACCGCTTTAAGACTTAATCTTACCAATGCCTTTTCTCTCATCCCTTCTATTTCTTCCTTCCCTCACTTCTTCCCTCCTCCCTTCTTTTTGAGACAGTGTTTCATTAGATAGGACCAGAACTCATTATATGGACCAGGCTGCCTTTAAATTCACACATTTTCCTGGCTCTTTTGTGTGTGTGTGTGTGTGTGTGTGTGTGTGTGTTTAAGGTGAATGGGTGTCTGTCTGGTACACAGATATACATACATGTAAAACTCTCATACATACAAAAAAATTAAAAGCCAAGTGGCGTGTGATAGCCCACCTGCGATTCCAGTGCACAGGAGGCAGAGAGGAGAAATCCCGAGAGCAGACTGGCTAGCCAGACAGCCAGACAGCTGAAATGGCGAGTCCACCTAGAGACCCCGAGAGTCATGGAGGAAGACATCCAGCACCTACCTCAGAACACCAATGTGTGAAAACATTCATAGTGAATGCATGCCTCATTCATATGTAAAAATCAGTAAGAAAGAAACAAGGTGACACAGTTAGGTAAGGATATGCTAGCTAGGCAGAGGTTCCAATAGAAAAGCACCAACAGTTGGGAGGGGGTACAGGAGGACTTCTTAGAAATGCTGCCCGGTGGAGGACATGTGACACACAGAAGAACACCATCTTTTTTTTTGTTTTGCTTTGTTTTGTTTTTTTGAGACAAGGCTTCTCTGTATTGTTTTGGAGGCTGTCCTGGAACTCACTTGGTAGACCAGGCTGGCCTCAAACTCACAGAGATCCCCCTGCCTCTGCCTCCCAAGTGCTGGGATTAAAGGCGTGTGCCACCTACGCCCGGCTGGGTTTTTCTTTTTTAAAGATTGTTGCATGTATGTACGTATGGATGTATGTATGTATTGTGTATGTGCATGTGAGTATGGGGACATGTGCCATGGTTCACACGTACAATAAGAGGACAACTTGTGGGAGTCAGTTCTTTCCTAATCGGATGGAATTCAGATTGTCATTTCTGGCAGGGAGAACCTTTACACTGTTAGCCATTTCACTGGCCTACAAGTATCATTTGGAAAGATTCTCCTGTAATGGGTCTGGAGAAATGGCTCACCGGTTAAGAGCACTTGCTACTCTTGCAGTTAGATTTGGTTACCAGCATCCAGATTTAGTGGCTCCTAAACAGCCTTAGTAACAGTGTCATGTGTCAGGGCGCCCCCTCCTGGCCTCCAGGGTGCATGGGGTGCATTTCAATACATGCATGCCAAATATTCATACACATAAAATAAAAGTAAACCTTTTTCTCCCCTGAAATACCTCCCATCAGCTCCTTTTTGTCAGTTGTGTCCCATTCCGGGAGAACTCTGCGCTATAGATAAGGCTGACCTTGAACTTATGAGGATCCTCCTGCCTCTGCCTCTGCCTCTGGAATGCTGGGATCTAAGATGTGTGATACCACGGCCTGTTTGACCTCACATGTTTAGCATTCCTTCTTTGGCCTCCCAAACAATGATCTACCAACTTTTGTTTGGCTTTGCTCTTTTGTTTGTATGTGGCAAGGGATTTTGGGTATTGAACTTAGGACCTTGGACATGCTAGGCAAGGACTTTATCTCAATATTTCTCTGCTTTTTATTTTGAGACGGGGTCTCACTGAGTTGTCAATGCTAAACTTGAATTTGGGATTCTTCTACCTCAGCATCCTGCCAAGTATCTGGGATTACGAGCTCCACCATCATTCATGTGCAGCTTTTTTTATTCTTTACACATACACACATACACACACACACACACAAATACATTCTTTACACATACACACATACCACCCACACACACACATACACACCACCCACACACACACACATTCTTTACACATACACACACACACACATACCACATTCTGGAAAATGTGTTGTCCAGAAGGAACAGTCCCAAATCCTAAGGTTCATTCTAACATATAAGTAGATGTGCTGGGAGTACAAAGCCACAAGAATTCTAAGTGTGTGAATGAATAATTTATTCCTTCTGTCATTCATAAAAATGGAAGAGAAGGGCAGAGAATCCCAATGCAGTAGGTGTCCATCTGTCAGGCTATATTAAACCAAGAAGAAACTTTTCATTTCAAATTAGTTTCTTAGGATCCTTGGCGCTTTCTCCTTGTGGAATATTTACAGAAAATATACATTTAAAAGAGGAATTAAAACAGAAACAGAAATTCAAGCAAAACTCAGTAGCCTCTATTTTTGCTTGCTTTTGCACAAAGATGGTCTGTAATGTCTTATCCATTCTGTTAAAAAATTAAAATTAAAATTAAAAATAAAAGGTAGCCATGCCTAGTGATGCAGGCCTTTAACTCCACCTGCCAGGAAGGTCAAAAGTTCAAAGCCGGGCGTTGGTGGCGCATGCCTTTAATCCCAGCACTCAGGAGGCAGAGGCAGGCGGATCTCTGTGAGTTCGAGACCATCCTGGTCTACAGAGCGAGTTCCAGGACAGCCTCCCAAGCCACAGAGAAACCATCTCAAAAACACCAAAAAAAAAAAAAAAAAGATGGCAAGATGTCTCTGTTGGTCGAAGTGCTTGCTGTGCAAGCCTCAGGATCTGAGTTCAATTCCCAGAGCCCATGGAGAACTGACTCTTGAGAGTCATCTCTTGACCCACATATACATATACACCTGCCTGCCTGTGTGAGCATGCACACGCGAGTGCGTTCTCTCTCTCTCTCTCTCTCTCTCTCTCTCTCTCTCTCTCTCTCTCTCTCTCTCTCTCTCTCTCTCTCTCATACACACACCAAAAAGACACAATGAATTTCTCTGGAGAGGGGTGGTTCGAGAAGGGGTTTCTCTGTGGCTTTGGAGACTGTACTGGAACTACCTTTTGTAGACCAGACTAGTCTCCAACTCACAGACATCCATTTGCCTCTGCCTCCTGAGTGCTGGGATTAAAAGTGAGTGCCACCACCACCTGGCTCAAATAATGAAATTTTAAAAATCAAATATGCTAGGCGGTGGTGGTGCATGCCTTTAAACCCAGCATTTGGAGGCAGAGACAGAAGCAAGCGGATCTCTGTGAGTTCGAGGCCAGCCTAGTCTACAGAGAGAGAGTTCCAGGACAGCTTCCAAAACAATACAGAGAAACCCTGTCTCGAAAAAAAGAAAAAAAAAAAAGAAAAACAAGCAAGCAAGCAAGCAAACAAAAGACAAAATTAAGTACATTTAAAAAACCCTAGGATAAACCAGCAGAGGTGTCGTGTACCTTTAATCCCAGTACTCAGGAGGTAGAGGCAGGTGGATCTCTGTGAGTTCAAAGCCAGCCTGGTCCACAAAGTGAGCTCCAGGATAGCCAGAACTATCACACAGAGAAACCCTGTCTCGAAAAACCAAAACAAACAAACAAACAAAAAAATCCTAAGACATAGTTCAGCGGCACCACTTTGGCCAAGGGTTCAATTCCAAAAGCCACTGAAAGGGGTGAGAGTAGCACAGGTTTGTGTTCTTAGCCCTCAGGATGAAACTGAACCAGGAATATTATGACTTCAAGTCCCTCTGCACTATGTAAGCTAGTTCCAGATTTAAAAAACGTTTAAGGCGCTGGAGAGGTGGCTCATCTGTTGTGATACATATCGCTCAGGTAGAACTCAGTTAGATCACCAGCACCCAAGTCAGTAAGTAGGTTCACCAGCCTACAACTACAGCACCAAGATATCAGATGCCTCTGGGCTCCACAAGCACATACACATACCCTCATAGACACACGAGCACATATATAAAATATATTACATATGATTAAATATATAAATAAAGCTTTTTTTTAAAATCTTGGTCTTTTAGCTACAACATTGCTCAGTTTCAGCTAGATTCCGCATCAGAAAACATAAGATGCAGGGCTTGGTGGTACACCCTAGCTCTGGGGATGCAGAGGTACTGGTGGGCAGGATGGAAATAAGACCGCTAAAACACAACTAGGGCCTCACTCCGAGCTTTCCTCATTCCTGGTGAATTCTAAACTCGGGAACCCAGGAAAGCCTTTCAGGTTTTCAAATCCTAGAGCGAGCATGACGCCTTAACAACAGGCGTGTTTTCGGGTGCGTTCCACTAATATTGTCTCCTGCCGGCAGCAGTCACCTGGCTGGTGACGTAACCCGACGTGCTCCCCGCCCGCGGGCGCCGGGATATCAAGATGGCGGCCCCCAGGAGCTGTGGATTGTGGCGCTACTGCTGCCGCGGGTGGTCGCGAGCAGCGGGAGACTGCAGGCTCCCCGGATTTCATCGGTCCTGGCCCGGAGCCACGCCCAGTGCGCGGCTCTTGTCCCAGGAGAAGCGAGCCGCGGAAACGCACTTCGGGTTTGAGACTGTGTCGGAGGAGGAGAAAGGGGGCAAAGGTGACCGGGCGAGAGGGCGGTGGAGGGGCCTGTGTGGCATCGATTTGGTTTCCTTTATCCATCTCAGGATTGGCTTAATGTCCTGTTAGCCCCAGAGCTGTGATGCTTGCACCCGAAGGGTGCCCACCTCCCGGACTCAGCTCTCCGCTCCTCGAGTCTCCTTTTCTGTATCTGGGAATACAGGCGTTGGAGACGCTACACCCTGCTGCGCGCCCTCTTTTTTAATTTTTTGACCACCCGTGTCTGTGTGTCACCTTGAGTGTCCTCGAACTTGATGTGTAGGTAACAGGCTGGCCTCGAACTCGCAGAGATCCACCTGCCTCTGCCTCTTGAGTGCTGGGTTTAAAGGCGAGCGCCACCACACCCGGCTTGCCCCCTCTTTTAAGCACAGCATGAGCCTCAACTCTTCATCAGCTTCGAGGTTGTCATATGCCAGGCATCATGCAGACTCGTCCTCCACGCCCATTGTCACTATCGTTTCCCACTAGTGACTATTGTTAGTCCCTTTCTTAGGAAACACAGAGGTGAGTTAAGCAAGAACTTGCACAGTTTAAAATGGTCGTCGGGCTGGCAGTGTAGCTCAGTTGGTAGAGTGCTTGCCTGTCACTCCCGCGGCGCAGTTCGATCCCCAGAGCCACATAAATTGCAAGTGGTGGTGTAAACTTGTGATTCCAGCACTTGGGAAGTGGATGCTGGAGGATTAGAAGTTCAAGGTAATTCTCCACTGTTCCTCGAATTTGGAGCCGGCCTCAGATAACGAGAGTTTGTCTCTACAGAGACATCCAAAGTTGCTAGTAATTGGGAGAACTACTGTTCTAACACATTTGGTTTTCTGGCTACAGAGTCCACATTCTTAGTTTCTTACTAAAGAAAGACCATCCGTCTCCACACTCCCCCCCCCCAAAAACACACACACACAAATGAGAACTAGAAGCAAGCTAATCTCTGTGATTTCAGTCCAGCCTGGTCTACATAGTCAGTTCTAGGACAGCCAGGGCTATATACTGAGAGACCCTGTCTCAGAAGAAGAAAAAGAAATAGCATGAAAGCTGTCAGCCAGATGTAGTGTCCATGCTTACAGTTGCAGCATTCTGGAGGCTTGGGGTGGGATCACCAGTTCAAGGCATTCTTGACTAAATATCATGGCTTAGTGGTTAGAAACACTGAGGGCCCAGATGAGTTTCCAGCATTCACAGGATGATTCACCACAGCCTGTAACAGCAGAACCTGTGGGTTGCTGTGATCCTTTGGGGGTGGAGCGGCCCTTTCACAGGGGTTGCCTAAGACCATCAGAAAAGAAGATGTTTACATTAAAGATATTTTGTTTTTTTTGCTTTTCAAGTCAGGGTTTCTCTGTGTAGCCCTGGCTGTCCTGGAACTCGCTCTGTAGACCGGTCTGGCCTCAAACTCACAGAGACCTGCCTGCCTCTGCCTCCTTAGGGCTGGGATTAAAGCCCTGTGTCACCATCACATGACATTACAACCCCCCCCATTTTAGTATTTATTTATTTATCATGTATACAGTGCTCTGCCTGCAGGCCAAAAGAGGGCACCAGATCTCATTACAGATGGTTGTGAGCCACTGTGTGGTTGCTGGGAATTGAACTCAGGACCTCTGGAAGAGCTGCCAGTGCTCTTAACCTCTGAGCCATCTCTCCAGCCCCCAACAGTACAATTCTTAATGTAGTGAAATTACAGTTATGAAGTGGTAACAAACATAATGTTGTGGTTGGGGTCACCACAATGTGAGGAACTATGTTAAAGGGTGCCAGGGTTAGGAAGGTTGAGAAGCACTCGTCTATAAACCAGGTCCAGGGGATCTGATGCCCTCCTCTGGCCTCCATGGGTGCCAGGTGCTCATGTGGCACACAGACATGCATGCAGACAAATACTCATAAAACAAAAATTAATATGTTTTGAGGGTTGGATGTGGTGGCGCACACCTTTAATCCCAGTACTCAGGAGGCAGAGGCAGGCGGATCTCTGTGAGTTCCAGGCCAGCCTGGTCTACAGAGAGAGTTCCAGGACAGCCTCCAAAACAATACAGAGAAACCCTGTCTCAAAAAACCAAAAAAAAAACTGTTAATGTAAATTCTAAACAGTTCTATTTTATTTGTATTGATTTTGTGTGTGTTTGTGTGTGTGTGTGTGTGTGTGTGCATGTGCATGTCTGTGGGCTCAGTGGAGGTCAGAGGACAATCTGCAGAAGTCCTCTCCTTTGCCATGTGGGTCAGGGGTGCAAACTCACATCTTCAGGCTTGGAGACAGGTGCTTCTCCACCTGCTGAGCCACCTCCCTGACCCTGTGGCAGGTGCTCCACCCACTGAGCCACCTCCCTGACCCTGTGGCAGGTGCTCCACCCACTGAGCCACCTCCCTGACCCTGTGGCAGGTGCTCCTCCACCTGCTGAGCCACCTCCCTGACCCTGTGGCAGGTGCTCCACCCACTGAGCCACCTCCCTGACCCTGTGGCAGGTGCTCCTCCACCCACTGAGCCACCTCCCTGACCCTGTGGTGGGTGCTCCACCCACTGAGCCACCTCCCTGACCCTGTGGTAGGTGCTCCTCCACCTCCCTGACCCTGTGGCAGGTGCTCCTCCACTTCCCTGACCCTGTGGCAGGTGCTCCTCCACCCGCTGAGCCATCTCCCTATCCTGTGGTTTTTATTTCCTGCTACTTCTTCCTCTGAAATAATCTTGAGCCAGGTTGACACAACCCTTAGGCCTCACCTGAGTTAGAAAGTTTACGCTCATGAGGTTGCTCTGCTGTGTATCTGGAGGCTCTTGAGCCACAGCTGTGTCTGTCCGACAGCCACCTCTTCTGCTAGTGACTGCACTGACACACATTCTTATTCTGCTCCCACCACTGTCACTTTCCCTTCGTGTATGTACCCGTCCCTTCGCTGTTGCTATTGTTGTTTGCTTTTTGCTTTTTGTTTTTCAATGCTCGGGATTAAATTCAGGGCTTTAGTCATGCTCACTGGTCTATACCCTCATTCCCCTGGTCTCTCATTTTTGTTGCTCCATTTCCTCTCTCATTTATCTAAGCATGCCACATGGATTTGTCACCAAGAGACAAGGAAACAGTAGAAGTATTATGCTCTGGCTTGAATGAGTGTACACTGTTTAACTGATCCATGATGACACACACAGTCTATAAAGTAGATGACATAACTGGTCACTGATTATGACATATACCTCTTTTTTTTCATAATGAGTCATGGAATGAAAGCTACCTGAAGCTTGTATTTCATTAGCATACTCATGGTTACCGCATTTGAATGGTGATGGGTGGACTTTAGGAAACAGGTTGGCTTCTCTTGTGGACCTTTAAGCATTTGATGCAGGGTAGTGTTGGGGTTTGGGAAGTCACTCAGCGATGGGGTTCTTACCTAGCACCACAAGAGGGGAAACATAATGCTAAGGTGCATCTTGGGTACCAAGCATTGTGGCTTTAGCATCACCTTGCAAAGACAGGCACTTTCAAGAGGGAAAGCCCCCCCTTTGTCTTTTTCATTTACATCTCCCCCATATCAATGTTGATAACTGTCTGTGTCACGCCAGTCTATCAGGTGTTTGAGAGTGTAGCCAGGAAGTATGACGTGATGAATGACATGATGAGTCTCGGCATCCACCGCGCTTGGAAAGATCTGCTGATCAGGAAAATGCACCCACTGCCTGGGACCCAGCTGCTCGATGTGGCTGGAGGCACAGGTAATGCTCTATGTGAAATCCTTGGGGAAGGCTGAGTAACCTGTTAGAATTATCTGTCTGCTGTTGAAGTGGGCTGCCTCACCTGCCATGAGGCTGACGGTGGTGACTGAAAGTGGGGACCAGCATCTGAGAAAGGGCAAACATGCCTTCCAGGGCAGCTTTGTGCCTGGCGCCTTTCTAAGAGAGGATTTTACAAACTAAGATGTGTTCTGTGACATTTCATCATCTGAATGACTGTTCTATCTCTTTTGATTTTTGTTTTTTTGGTATTTGAGACTGTGTAGCTCTGGCTGACCTTAAACTCACTATGTAACAACCCAAGCTGGCCTTGAAACTTCTTGTCATCTGTGATCCTCCTGCTTCTGCTGCCCAGGTGCTGGATTACAGGCCCAGGGTACCATGCCCACATGGTGTTTTGTTTTGTTTTGTTTTACTTTGGTTTTCCTCCTCAGTGCTGGGGAGTAAACGCCGGGCTTCACAAATACTGTAGATAAGTGCTTATCACAGAGCTTGGCCCCAGCCTGTTTTTCCTCCTGTTTGCAGAGGAGCCTTTTGTCACATCGCATAAGCTGTCTAGGCCGCTGTCCTGCCTTGTCCACTTCCACATCAACATCAAAGCATATTGCAGGCTTTGTTTCTTGTTGCACACTGAGTACCGGGGGAGAAAAATGCTGAGAAATTGTACATTAGAAAACCTTTAATGTCAGCATTTCAGAGGCTCGGGCAGGAGGATCCAAGTAAATTCAAAGCCAGCCTGAATTTTATAGTGAATGCGAGGCCAGAGTAGGCTACAGATCAAGACACTGTCCCAAAAACCAAACAGATAGGGGCTGGAGAAATGGCTCAGTGGTTAAGAGTACATACTGCTCTTGCAGAGGACCGTAGGTCAGTTCCCACACCCATGTCAGGTGGCTCACAATTGCTGTGACTTCAGCTGCAGGTGTCCAGCACCCTCTTCTGGACTCCATAGGCACTGCACTCATGCACAAACCCCACAAATGTTCACATAATTATAATAAAACCTTAAAAATGTAAGCTGGGAGGTGGTGGTGTACACCTTTATTCCCAGCACTCAGGAGGCAGAGGCAGACAAATCTCTAAGTTCAAGGTCAGCCTGGTCTATAGAATGAGTTCCAGGAAGCCAGGCGGTGGTGGCGCATGCCTTTAATCCCAGCACTCGGGAGGCAGAGGCAGGCGGATCTCTGTGAGTTCGAGGCGGGGCTGGACTGATAGCCTCCAAAACAATACAGAGAAACCCTGTCTCATAAAAAACCAAAAAAAAAAAAAAAAAAAAAAAAAAAAGAATGAGTTCCAGGACAGCCAGGGCTACACAGAGAAATCCTGTCTCAAAAAAACAAACAAAAATACCCATGAAGGAAAAACCTAATAATAATAAAAACCAAACAAATACAGCTGGAGATGTGGCTTAGTTGGTAGAGAGCTTGCATACATGAGACTCTTGGTTCACTCCCCGGTACCCCATAAACCATGACTGGTAGTACACACTTGCAATCCTACCCTTCAGAGGGTGGAGGCCAAAGAAATGGAAGTTGTCATCTTCTGTCACATAGCACACTGAGGACAGCCTAGATTACATGAACCTCCCACCTCTAAATAAATAAATAAATAAATAAAAAGAACCAGCTGGGCATTGGTGGCGCACGCCTTTAATCCCAGCACTTGGGAGGCAGAGACAGGCGGATCTCTGTGAGTTCGAGGCCAGCCTGGTCTACAGAGCTAGTTCCAGGACAGTCTCCAAAACAATGCAGAGAAACCCTGTCTCGAAAAACCAAAAAATAAATAAATAAATAAATAAATAAATAAATAAATAAATAAAAAGTACCATCAATAGCATAATTCTTGGGATTAAGGTGGAGCTTGGGGGAAGAGCACTTGCCTGGGCTCACACTTCAAACCCTTGGTTGAGCACACTGTCACACAACAATACAAGTCAGCTACAGACGCCAAGTGAGCTGTTGTTCCACAGTATTGTTTAGGAAATGACACAGTCTGGGGGTGTGATAGGCCTCACTGCCCAATGATCCATAGTTGAATCTAGACTTGGGACCTATGATGCCAAAAGGCATCTTACACTACTTACATTAAGTCTTTGTTTTTAGAGTCTTGCTATGTTGCCCTGGCTGCCTGGAACTTGCTATTTAGATCCGACAGGCCTTTTTTTTTTTTTTTTTTTTTTTTTTTTGGTTTTACGAGACAGGGTTTCTCTATTGTTTTGGAGGCTGTTGGTCCAGCCCGGCCTCGAACTCACAGAGATCCCCTGCCTCTGCCTCCCGAGTGCTGGGATTAAAGGCGTGTGCCACCACTGCCCGGCCTGACATGCCGTTTAACACAAAGATCCTCGTGCCTCCAAGGTAGTGACCCCTCGATTTGTACATGCTAGGCAAGTACTCTCCCAACTGAGCCATGCACCTGCAGCCCTTAATGTGAAAATTATTCTAAACACCAGTTGTGTGGTGTACACATATAATCCCAGTATACTCAGGAAGTGGGGGCGTGAGGACCAGGAGTTAGAATCATCCTTAGCTGCTTGGTGAACCCAGGGCCACACTGGGCTACATGAAACAGTAGCAAAGAAGAAATGAAGGGGGGAAGAGAAAGGAGGCAGGCAGGGAGGCAGGGAGGAATGGTAGCATGCATCTATGATCCCAACTCAGGAGAGCGGAACAGGAGGATCAGAAGTTGAAGTACATCCTAAACATAGATGCATCCTTTGGGGGGGGGGGTGGGAAACCCGTTTCTGTTGAAAGGAGCAGTAGCATCCTTCCTCAGTCACATCCCTCTGCCTCTGCTCTTTGGGACTTGAGATACTAGTTGTTGGGTTTAATTTGTATCTTTCCTTCTGTCGGCTTCCCGTAGGTGACATCGCCTTCCGGTTCCTTAGTTATGTGCAGGCACAGCATCAGAGAAAACAGAGGAGACAGTTACGGACCCAGCAGAATTTATCCTGGGAAGAAATTGCCAAAAAGTACCAGAATGAAGAGGATCCCTTGGGTGGTTCACTTGTCACGGTCTGTGACATCAACAGGGAGATGCTAAAGGTTGGGAAGCAGAAAGCCTTGGACCAAGGACACACAGCTGGTGAGTCCTTCAGCAGACACAGGCATTGTTTGCACGTTTACAAAGGAAGGCGATGCACACCAGATTCTAGAGTGTCTTATGTTCCAAGGGAAGTGTGAATGAAGGAGGTTTCTAGGACTGAGCACGACTCATAGGTGCAGTCCAGAATCCGGGCGTCATGTTAAGCTTGACGAACAGTACTGTGCAGCCCAGAGAGATTAAGGATCTTCTTCGTCTTCTTTTTTTTTTTTAAGATTTTATTTATTATGTATACAACACTCTGCCTCCATGTATGCCTGCAGGCCAGAAGAGGGCACCAGATCTCATTACAGATGGCTGTGAACCACCATGTGGTTGCTGGGAATTGAACTCAGGACCTCTGGAAGAGCAGCCAGGGCTCTTAACCTCCGAGCCATCTCTCCAGCCCAAGGATCTTCTTTTTTGTTACAGTTTTTTAAAAATTTTTTATAGTCTTTAAATTGTATCTATGTCTGCAGTATGTGGGTGTCTGGTACCTACAGAGGCTAGAAGAGGGCATCAGATCTCCTAGAACTGGAGTTATAGATGGTTGTAAGCCAGCTGAGTGTTAGTAATCAAACTAAGACCCTCTGGAAGAGAAGCCAGTTGAGCCATCTCTCTAGCCATTGTTACTTTTTGTTTTGTTTTGTTTGTTTTTCGAGGCAGGGTTTCTCTGTGGCTTTAGAGAATGTGCTGGAACTAGCTCTTGTAGACCAGGCTGGTCTCAAACTCTGCCTCCCGAGTGCTGGGGTTAAAGGCCTGACCATTGTTACTTTTTTAAATTATGTTTTTTTTTTATTTAATACGGGATAGGGGGGAAATTATGCTGGTGCCATAGCACTCCTGTGGAAGTCCAGAAGACAACTTGTGGGAGTTGGAAATTGAACTCATGTAATTGGGATTGACAGCAAGAACCTTTACCCACTGGGCCATCATCTCACTGGCCCTAAACATCTTCAAGTTGTTGGTTTTGTTGTTGTTTTATTTGAGACAGGGTCTTAACTGTATATAGCCTTGACTAGCCTGTAACTCACTCGGTAGACCAAGCTGGCCTTGAACTCATATCAGGAGCTTCTTTTTTTTTTTTTGGTTTTTCGAGACAGGGTTTCTCTGTATTGTTTTGGAAGCTGTCCTGGAACTCACTTTGTAGACCAGGCTGGCCTCGAACTCACAGAGATCCGCCTGCTTCTGCCTCCCGAGTGCTGGGATTAAAGGCGTGTGCCACCAACGCCCGGCTCAGGAGCTTCTTAAGTCACACAGGTTTTCCTCCCTCCCTCCCTTCCTCCTTCCCTCCCTGCCTCCCTTCCTCTCTCCCTCCCTCCTTTTCTCAGTACTGGAGATTGAACCAGGTGATTGCTACCACTGCCTTTACACCTGACCATTGAATATTTCAGAATACTTGCCTATCCATAGCTTTTATCCCAGAACTTGGAAGGCAAAACCAGGAAATCTTTGTGAGAACTCTACATGGTGAGTCCCCAGCTGGTCCAGGCTACACAGTGAAACCATCTTGAACAACACAAGCTTGCCCTTAATGTTTGCAGGTTCACTGCTAATCCTGAATACTGCACCCACTTGACAGCTTTCTGGGACAGCTGGACTGTCCTCCTCCATGCCGTCAAGGCAGTGCGGGCAGCTAGAGAGACAACGGCAAGTCGCAAAAAAGGTTCTCTGTCAATGCTCTGGGCAACGTCAGCAGCATTCCTGCTCCCCTCCCACTGTGAATGTCTGGTTATTTTAGGCCAATTGTTCTCTTCCTCCTCCTCACACACCAAGAAGAAGCTGCCTAGACGGACTACAGCCCACTTGGCCTTCACCATGAAGGACTCCTTTGTTAGCTATCTCTGGGCAAAGGCACTGTGTGTCTTACTCCTACTGACAAATATATTTCCCTTTCTGGTGCTCTGCCATAAAGAATGGAGAGCTAACAGTGAAATGATAGGTAATGTTCCACTTCTGGAACTGTCTCCTCCATAGTGTAGCTATGAACCTGCTTAGGACTTCATTGTTGTTTAAGACAAGATGTCACATGACTCAGGCTAGCAGTCAAGGCTAGCCTTGAGCCAATACTCAGTCCTACCTCTATCTGCATGATTATGCAATGAAAAATAAAGCCATTTATGGTGTTTAAGCGAGGGGCTGGAGAGATGGCTCAGTGACTGAGAGCATACTGTTCTTGTAGTGGGTTCCCAGCATCCAAATGGCAACTTACAGCTGCCTAAAACTCTAATTCCAGGGGCTCCTACCTTCTTCTGACCTCTGTGGCTCTTGTACATATGTGGTGCACTTACATACACTCGTACACACATGCACATACACACAAAAACAAAGAATCCATTTGAGGTAAATGGTTGGAATCTGTCCTTTGCTAACATCATTCATATGTAGTAAATTAGACATAAATTCTGAAAAGGTTTCCAATCTGAGTGTGGTGTGTGGTGGCGCACTCTTGTAATCAGAGCACTGGGGAGGCAGAGGTGGGCGGGTCTCTGAGTTGAAGGCCAGTCTAGTCTACAGATTGAATTGCAGGACAGCCAGAGCTACACAGAGAAACCCTGTCTCTCATAACTTAACCTGTTTCTCTTCATCTACATTTTGCCCTAGGGCTTTTTATTTTTCTTTCATTCTGTATGACCTACTCCATGTCTGTCTGGCAGCTGCCTGCCTGGCTGGTCCTGGGCATTTCCCTCTCTTTCTCCTCTTCTCCTTGCCAACCCTGCCTTATTGTTCTACTGCCTAGCTGTTGGCTATTCAGCAATTTTTGTTTGTTTGTTTGTTTTTTTGTTTTTCAAGACAGAGTTTCTTTGTGGATTTGGAGACTGTCCTAGAACTAGCTCTTGTAGACCAGGCTGGTCTCGACCTCACAGAGATCCACCTGCCTCTGCCTCCCGAGTGCACCACCAACGCCTGGCTGGCCATTCAGCTTTTTATTAAACCAATCAGATGCCTTAGGCAGGCAAGGCAGCACACCTTTACATCGTTAAACAAAGGTAGTGTAAACAAATGGAACACTCCTTTACACAGTTAAGGTAATATTGCACAACAACCAGACAGTTATTGAATTCCCTCGCTTCTGACATTACCCAGACTTTGCACCGTGGGCTGTGTGCCACTGAACCATCACCACCCCACAAGTTACACACATCAATGCTAGGGCGGGCACTCAAGACTTACCGCAGAATCCGCAGATTCACTGTCCCTATGGTGCATGGGAAACGGTTACCTAGACTTATACCCAGAACTGGTTTTGTCTTCCAGGACTTGCCTGGGTACTGGGAGATGCTGAAGAGCTGCCCTTTGATGACAACCAATTTGATGTTTACACCATTGCTTTTGGGATCCGGAATGTCACACACATTGACCGGGTATGAATAAGTGCATGCTCGGCATGCATGTGACTTTGAAATAGCAGTTCGCCTGGTGTGGACTTACCCCTCAAGAGGACAGGAAGATTCTTTTCTGGGCTCAATACTTAAGAGGAGTGACTGTTTAAGCTTAGAGGTTTCCTCCTCCTTTGTGTGTGTGTGTGTGTGTGTGTGTAGTTTGTTTTTTTTGAGACAAGGTTTCCATATGTAGCCCTGGCATAGAACTTACTATCTGTGACTTACTGGGTAGACCAGGCTGCCCTCAAATTCAGAGATTCACCTGCCTCTGCCTGCCAAGTGCTGAGATTAAAGTTATGTAACATTACACCCAGCTATATATTTTTTTTAATTAAAAAAAAAGCACTTTGTTGGTAGGTGTGGTAGCATATGGCTATATTCTCAACACTGCAAAGGCAGGAAGATTGCTTTAAGTTTGAGGCCTGTTCTACATAATGAACTCCAGGCCAGCAAGACCCATGTAACAATATCTGTCTCGAAAGAACAAATCCTCATTTTGTTCTTTTTTTTTTTTTTTTTTTTTTTGGTTTTTCGAGACAGGGTTTCTCTGTGGCTTTGGAGGCTGTCCTGGAACTAGCTCTTGTAGACCAGGCTGGCCTCGAACTCACAGAGATCCACCTGCCTCTGCCTCCCGAGTGCTGGGATTAAAGGTGTGCGCCACCAACGCCCGGCCCTCATTTTGTTCTTTTGAAGCAGGATCTTACTCTGTAGCCCAGGCTGACCTAGCATTCACTGTGTAGCCCAGGCTGTCTTAGAACTTGCACCAATCCTGTTTCAGTTTCCCAAATGCTAAAATTACAGACATGAGATATCACATCCAGATTTAAAAAACAAAAACCCCTTTCTCTAAAGAGACAAATTAATCCTGTAATTAATTATTTTGCTACTGTAGGGGGGAAATTTTCCATCTTTTGCACATTCTGTACTGTTTGTGACACCAGCCTGTGGGGTTTTCCTATGCCACATAATCCTCAGCAAACTGCCACTGAGTGCCCTCCAGTTCAGATACACATCTCTCACAGCTACAGACCAGAGAGTCTTTGCATTCCTCTCTGGGTCTGCTCATTTGCTAGAATGTAGTTCTGAAGCCAGGCGTCATAGCATATGCAGCAGTTGCAGGACCAGGGGGGCTGCGACAGAGGTCTTGAGTCCCAGGCCAGCTTTGGTCGTTTTTGTTGTTGTTTTGGTTTTTGTGGGCTTTGTTTTGGAGAAAACGTCTCACTTTGTTATGTTGGCTGGCCTCAAGCTCACTACATAGGTCACCTACTTCTGGTTGCAGAGCACTAGGATTAAAGGCATGTGTCTCCTGGCTTGATCCTATTTAAAACAACCAAGTCCAGGTATGTGGTTCTTGTATGAGACCTTGTCTCAAAAAACAAAAGAAGCCAGATGTGGCCGGGCGTTGGTGGCACATGCCTTTAATCCCAGCACTTGGGAGGCAGAGGCAGGTGGATCTCTGTGAGTTCGAGGCCAGCCTGGTCTACAGAGTGAGTTCCAGGACAGCCTCCAAAAGCCACAGAGAAACCCTGTCTCGAAAAACCAAAAAAAAAAAAACCAAAAAAAAGAAGAAGAAGAAGCCAGATGTGGCTTCTTTAATCCCCACAGACAGGGGGCAGAGGCAGGCAGATCTCTGTGAGTTTGAGGCCAGCCTGGCCTACGAAGCTAGTTCTAGGTCATCTAGGGCTGTTATACAGAGAAACCCTGTCTCAAAATACCAAAAAACAAAACAAACAAGAAAAGCTGTCCTTTGTTGCTTCTTGGCTTCAAGGCAAGCAGTTTGTTCTGCCTTTTAGACACATCCTGTCCATCTTCAGCAGAGTCTGCAGGCGAAGGTCCACCTTGTCCCAGCCTGGAACTCATCACATTGTAAGCTAAAATGAACCCTTCTCTATGCTACTCTGCTCAGTTTGTTGTGGTATAGCCAGCACCCGCACCGCAGCTTGGCTTTCATGGCCATCCTGCATCTGTGGAAGGTTTATTATTTGCTTTGATTGAAACATGTTTTTGCCATTTGTGGTGGCTCATGCCTGTGACCCAGCAACACTTGGGGCAGAAGCAGAGCCCTCATTGCAAGTTGAAGGCCACAGGAGTCTATGTGTTGAGTTCTTGTCCTATAGTCAGGCCCTGTAATGGCTGTATCTCACAGAAATAAAGTAATAAGATTCAAATGAAATACTTTTGAATAGGATCAAAGTTGAAGATTATGTGTGTCAGTGAGAACTTCCTACCCACACTAATTCCCAGCCATTTGGTGCCTCTTCTGCCACACAGTCCCCAATTCCTCATGTGTATTTGTAAAACTATTTTGTGCCTTTTAAGTGTATCTATTACAATCAGGCATGGTGGCATATGCCTGTAACTCCAGTACTTAGCAGGGGCTGGGGAAATGGCTCACCCAGGGAAGTGCTTGCACACAAGCAGGAGGAGCTGGCAGTGGTGGCACACAGCGCTAACCTTGCAGAGGCAGAGGCAGGCGGATCTCTTGAGTTCAAGGCCAACCTGGTCTGTAGATCAAGTTCCAGGGAAAAGGCCAGATGTGTGTTGGCGTTGCAGCTAAGTGACAGAGAATTTGTCTAGTATGTGCAAGGCCCTGAGTTCAGTCTCCAGCATTCTAAAGAAACACACACACATGCATGCGCGTACACACACACACACACACACACACACACACACACACACATACCAGTGATTTTGTATGTGTCTGTGTTGCTTAAGATTCAATTCAGGGCTTTTATACATGCTCATTCATAATCTCATTAAATTAAGCTGACCTTAAACTCACCCTGGAGCCCAGACTGCCCTTGAACTGACCAGAGTCTTCTGAGCGGTCTCCCAAGCAGCTAGGGTACAGACCTGGGCCACTAGTCGGGCTTATATAGTGATTTTCCTCCATGTTATCACATAAAACTCTTAGTTTGTCCTTTGGCAATAGGTGAGTCAATTCTGTTTGTACAGATTTCCCATGATGTTAACCAGGTTCTCCATGATTAAAGATGTGTCACATACAATGAATTTTTCACATACCTGTCATTTTCTGTCAGATAGAGTCCTTTAATTAAAATTGTTACATTGGGGTTTGGAGAGATGGCCCAATGGCTGCTCTTCCAGAGGACCTAGGTTCCATTCCCAGCATCCACATGGCAGCTCACACCTGTCTCTAGCTTTAGTTCCAGGGGATATGATGCCCTCTTCTGGCCTCTGCAGGCACCAGGCACACTAAAGATTCACAGATACACATGCAGGCACAATACCCTTACACAGAAAATAAATGTTTTTAATCAAAATCATTATATGGAAGAGGTTATCCACTGTGGCCAAACGCATAATTCTAAGCTTTTCTTCCTAGAGCTGTGCCCATCTTCCTGCATCAGCCCCTTTCTCTAGTCATGGGCATCAGATGCCTGTAACATGGGGTAATTTCTGCATTGTAATTCCTGAGGCTATAAAAGGGAGTTTATGGAGAATGTTTGCTGTGCACAAAGACACTAAACCAGCCTCTGACCCTTGGAGAGGTCTGCTGAGTATTTTCTTCTCACTCTTTCTCTCAGGCACTCCAGGAAGCACATCGGGTCCTAAAGCCAGGAGGACGGTTTCTCTGTCTGGAATTTAGCCAAGTGAATGATCCCCTCATATCCAGGTCAGCATTGGTAACAAGGTTCCCCACCACAAATAGATAGAAAATAGCCAGTATGCTACAGGCATCTGACTTTGTAGGTTCAGAGGCACCAAAGGGCAGGGATACTTGAAGAGGTTGGCGAGTCCTTAATGGAAATGCTTGGGCCAGAAGAGCCTCAACAAGCATCCAGAGGCCATATGAACCCACATGGTTTTGTTTGACTCATAAGTTACTTTAAGAAATGTAATAGCCAGATGTGGTGGGTGGCTCATACCTATAGTCCTAACACTCAAGATGCTGAGGCAGGAGGATCACCTCAAGTTCAATATTTGCTTCGTCTATATAGTGAGTTTCAGGCCAGGCTAGTCTACAGAGTGAGGCTCTATCTCAGACACACCAGCCAGCCAAAACCTTATTATCAGGACATTTTACAGAAGAACCTGGATTGTGTCACAAGCTGGGTAGAGCAGGCTCCTTCATGCAGGCATCAGGGGCAGAGTTAACGGCCTCTGCTCTGGTTTTGTGCAGCTCTGTCATTTGCCGTGGGCCTCTCAGCCTTGCTCTTGGCTTGCTTGCCTTGTTTCAGGCACTTGCTTGACCTCTATGGGCATGTGAGTCAGTGACTCCTGGCTTACACCATCTCACTTACTGTTAAGGGGATGGATCCACGCAGAGTTTTGTAAAGATGTTTTTGTTATTGTTGTTTTTGAGACAGAGTCTCACTGTATAGCCCTGGCTGTCCTAGAACACTCTATACTCTGTGTAGACCAGGCTAGCCTCAGACTCAGAGATCTGTCTGCCTCTGCCTCCCATGTTCTGAGGTTAAAGGTGTGCACCACCATGCCTGGCTACGGCAGGCATTCTTAATCACTGAGCCATCTCTCCTAGCCCCCACTTTTCTTTACACTATGACTGGAGAGGCCAGGAGTATGCCCAGAGTCCACTCTAATCTTAATCTTTGCCTTTGCCACTGTTTTTTGTTTGTTTGTTTTAGGCTTTATGATCTGTACAGTTTCCAGGTCATCCCTGTCATTGGAGAGGTCATTGCAGGAGACTGGAAGTCCTATCAATACCTTGTGGAAAGTATTCGGAAGTTCCCTAATCAGGTACAGAGCTTTCTTAACTAAGAGCAAAGGCCCTGAGGTTGAAACCCAAGCATCCCATGTGCCTTTTCTTGTGTTTTAGGAAGAGTTCAAGGAGATGATTGAAGATGCAGGCTTTCAGAAGGTGACCTTCGAAAACCTGACCACAGGGATTGTGGCCATTCATTCTGGCTTCAAACTCTAGCTCCCTTCTGTTGTGCAGCACGAACCAGTCATTCTGCTGAGGCCTGGAACTGGAAGAGAATCTCCCTGAGGAGACAGTAGCATCCACCTCCTCTTAGGGTATAACGCCTTGGATTCTGCATTCATCAGTCTCAAAAAGGAAGACACAAACTCCTGCCATTTTTTGCAGCTCTCATTAGTAGCTGTTAGGGTTAGGGTTAGAGTTAGGGTTAGGGTTAAGGTTAGGCTGCCACCAAGGCCTTCTTTCTCCCCAAAGTGTCTGACCTGGTTTTGCTGAACTCCTGATAACACTTGGCTGTGCAGTGTGGAGTCAGATAAAACCAGCACTCACACAGTTCTGAAGCTTCCTGGTAGCATCTCTATCACAGATGAGTTCCAGAGGGATAATGGATCCCTGAAAGCCAAGGATGGTTTGAGCCAGTCTTTCAGACTAGAATTGAATCTAGAGCCAAAAGCCCAGGTCCAAGTCAGAATGCTGACAGTTAGGACTTTGGGCGGGTGAGGTGCTCAGAGGTGAGCACATTAGAACTGGGGGTTGAGGGTACAGCTCAGTGGCAGAGCATGTGCTTAGCCTGGTGAGGCCCTGGGTTTGGTTCTCATCACCAGAAGCAAACAAAAAAAGTAGAACTGTGGGAAGCAGTAAAGCTTACAATTTGGTTGGTATTTGCTGCTCTTTCTTGGAGGAGGTGACACAAATGTAGTACACGCCATTGACGTCTATCAGTCCTTGTCACCAAGACAGCATCCTCAGTGTTCATCATCAAGAAAGTCACTGCCAAGCCTTGGTAAATAGAGCTTATCAGAATATATTTATACATGTTTATAGCAAAAAAGAAAAGGAAGGGACAAGGTTGGGAGACTCAGTGGGTAAGAACACTCACTCCCTGCTCTTTCGACCTCTGTGGGTACTATGCACACACGTACACGCAAGCAGTGATACACATAAACAGTAAAACAAATGTAAATATGAAAAGAAACGTGTTTATGAACCCTGTCTCCAAAAGTAAAACATAACAACATAGTCAGGGCTATCTGAAAGGCCTAGCACACTAGGGAGCATTTATAGATCTCACAAGACCTCACCTGTACTGGACAGCTTCCAGACAGCCAACTACAGATGTCTCAGAACAGCATTGAGAGGATCCGAGAAAAATGCTAGACTTTAAAAAAATACATTTTTTTTTCAGCCAGCTTGGAGCCTACTGGCTTTTAAATTAACAGGAAGGTACAGGCACTGAGAAATATCCATAAACCATCCAACTGATTTTTATTTCTATAGCAACATGTTTTCTCATCTGAACCTGAAGATGAAAGTCAAAAGCCACCAGCCCTTTTGACAGGAAACACAGGCCAGATCAAATTATCAGAACTCTGTGTCCAGCCATGGTGTCTTGCTTCAGCTCTAGGAACTTGCTGGAGACATCATCTAGCTTTGATGGTCAAATTCCTGTCAGGTTTCAAATAAAAACACAGCCAGGTCATGAAGAGGAAAACATCTCTACCTGTTCGAAAAGTACAAATCTGAATTACCATGACCGTAGTCTCCTTCTCCAAACAAAATACCCCATTTTTCTGAAGATAGTAGGGAACACATGTCAGCTGTCACAAACACTAAAACAACCAGGAAGGATGTTACACATCTGCAACACCAGGACTTGGCAAATGAACAAGGAAGATTAGTCGAAGGTTATCCTCAGCTACATAGTGAGTTTGAGGCCAGCCTGGGCTACATAAGACAGTCACAAAAACCAAACAGGCATGGAACAGACCTGTCATCAAGTCTAATTCTTAGATCCTACATGGTACTGCCCGGTTGTCCTGACCTCCACACATGTAGGCAAACAGTAAAGACATTTCCCTTCCCATGGAATTCCTGCCCCTGAGAAAACACAGTATCTGACCAAGTTCAGGTGTAGAGAAAAAAAAATCAAAGGTGTAACTGATCTGATGCTATCCCTAAGTTAAATCTGCCACACTATTCTGTGGAACAGCTTTTTGGCTGCTTAAAACCTCAATTACCTCAACAAAAGAGGCTTTATCTTGTGAAAATGGAGATGGCACCCTGGTGAGACTCTTGTACTTTCCCAAAGTGGGGTTGGTTCTCAGCCTGTAGGGGGCCTCCAATACATGCTTTTCTCTGAAAATGACCACAGTCAGCTTTTGGTGACTAGACCCACAGCTTTAATGAGGTCCTTTCATGAAAACTCATTTACTAATTGACTTGAGGACAGCCAGTGAAAGCACTAGGAGTCAGTCTCATTCTAACCCAGGCACACCTGGCCTCTGGGAGAGCTGGGGTTAATAGCTCAAACATCTGAAGAAACCTGTGTGGCCAGCCAGGCTTTCTATCTTTTTTTTATTTTTGAGGCAGGGTTTCTCCGAGGCTTTTGGAGGCTGTCCTGGAACTAGCTCTTGTAGACCAGGCTGGCCTCGAACTCACAGAGATCCGCCTGCCTCTGCCTCCTAAGTGCTGGGATGAAAGGCGTGTGCCACTAACGCCCAGCCAGGCTTTCTATCTTAAAAGCACTAGAATGCCTAGTCCCATAAAACATGGAGTCCTCAACCCTAAGTCCTGGTGATCTATCAACTGGTAACCTGCTCCAGTCCTACTCTACTTGAACAAACTAAGACACATACACATCGCCAACAGATTTATTTTAAAGGGATGGCCTAAGGGAGAAAAAAACGGGTACAGAAGTGTGGACTAGAAAATAAATACAAATGTAAGCTGTTTTACTAATTATTTTATAACCACAAACTCGTACAGAGGGTGATGCCCTGTACAAAACACAACAGATTCAAACGAGGTGTTCCCATAGCAAGGCTGAAGAGTCAGTCTCTGGTATTTGGAATTTAGGATGCAGTCCTTGTTTTTGGATGGATCACTGGGCGTTTGGCACAGTCCATGCTTTTAACCAGATTTGAACAGAAGAATGGCCACCTGACCCAGGTAGAAGTAGATGAAGTGTTTGGTTTCATGTGTCACATAACTACCGAAGTTCCGCCCCACAATGCAGTGCCAAGTGGGGTTGTACTTCTTGTCAAACTCCTGGTAAAAAATAAAACAGAATTTTAGTGGTACAGAGAATTCACTTTCTAGAAAAGCCAAAGCCTGTAGGACCAGAAAGGACAAACATCTTCAATTGTTTCCACACTTGGGACTGAATCCAAGGCCTCAGGTGTACAGAGCTATACTCACAACTCCAGCAAATTCTTGTGATAAAGACTGCTCCCTGGAGCCAGGCAGTGGTGGTGCAGGCCTTTAATCCCAGCACTCACTTGGGAGGCAGAGGCAGGAGGATCTATGAGTTTGAGACCAGACTGGTCTACAAGAGCTACTTCCAGGCCAGCCTCCAAAGCCAGAGAGAGAAACCTTGTCTCAAGAGAAAAAAAAAAAGACTGCTCCCTGACTCTAAGTCACCTACCTAGTACAGTACTGCAAACATGATTGCAGTCTGAGGTAAGATGGGATGGGAGCTGAGGAGATCAAAGGCAGGAGTCATTTTCAAAGACATTCTGTTTCAGTGATTATATCTGACTTCTTGGAGGGATATGAAGCCCTGACTGTCCTGGAACTCCCTATGTATATCAGCTTAGCCTTGAAGTCAAAGAGATCTGTCCACCTCTGCTGGAATTAAAGGCGTGTACCACCATGCCCAGTGCACCTCTGACTTCATATTTTCAATGGAGACAGATGACATCAGCGCTTGTAGTTTATCAGGTTCTTCCTGATAACTATCCTGCCATACACCCCAAATTCATGAAGACAGTAAAAACTACCCCCCAAGGCCTTAATGACACTTGTAGAACTAAAGGACAAAGCCTCGATTATTATCTAAATCAAGCTATACTGAAAAATAATAAGAAGGCAAGAGAATCTGACAGCTAAGACGCTAGACTATCCTTTAAAACTGCTCTCCTCTCCACATCTACTACGTAGTCTTAAAGATTAGCAAGTTAGGGAGTATCTGTTCCCTGCTTTCCCTATCCCAATGGCCACTAGAACTAGAAATGTTCATTTCTTCACTAGGTGGATCGAACCGGGGTCCAAGATGATGTAAGCAAAATGTCTCTTACAATCCCGATGCACATGCTACTGCGTCTGTCAAAAAAGGTATTCATTTCTGCTCCATGTCAAGTCTTTCATCTTCCCATTCTCCACTGGAACCCTCCCACAGCTTCGGCTTCCAGTTTCCTTTCTTTCCAGCAAACACAGCTTGAGAAGTTGCAGTCTTGCCAGCTCTCTACAAACTGCCATTTACCAAGCCTCCACCCGAGCCCCCAACCACCACTACCACCCACTTTCCCTGAACTGCCGACTAACTCCCGGCTGGAAGGCTGGCAAAATCTCCTCCTAGCCCGGCTGGAAACACCCACGCAGCGCACACCCCCCCACACACCCAGCTACATCCTCGGCGCAGGAATCAGTAGGGGGAACCTCTCGCTGCTCCCTGATCTTGGAAACCGTTGCTAGGTGGCGCTTTCCCCCAAGGAGCTGGGATTAAAAAAAAAAAAAAAACTTCGGGCGTTGAGGGTCTGGTCTTCCCAAGAGGAACGCAGAATCCATCTGCGTCCTTTCTAGAACTGTCTATACCGAGCCTACTGAGTGCCACGGGAAAACTACAAGCGCCCGGGGGGGGAACTATGCGCTGCCCGGTCCTCACCTTCTTGATATGGGCCGCAATATCCTTTTCTATGTTGTACTTCTCCAACGCCTGAGTAGCGCACTCCACCGAGTCCTGTTGCATCTCCTCCGACATGTCTGCATTTTTGATCACCGCCTTCCGGTCGCACATGGTTGCCTGAGGGAGGAGGCGCGGGAGAGGTAAGGGTCAGGGTGCGGGCCGCGCTGCCCTCCTGGCCGGCCCCTGAGGACGACGCCCCCACCCGCCCCGAGGCGCAGCTCCCGCGGCCCGCACGGCAGGCCCCGGGGCCCGGGGGGACCTGAGCCCACTCTCACCGTGGAGCAGGAGCCAGCCGGCTGCTGCGAGCTCCCGAGGAAGGTGCTGGCGCCGCTCAGGCAGCTAAGGAGAGCCGGTCGCTACCGAAGCCGTGGCGCATCTAAGGAGCCCCACGCCAGCCGCCGCCGCCTAATCCCGAGGCCCCGCCCTGCGCCCGCGGCCCCGCCCCCGACGCACGTCTCTATTGGCTGAGTGCAGCAAGCATCCTCTCCCTATTGGTCCATGGATTCAATGGTTCCTTCAGGATCTTTCTCCTGCATTTTGTTGCAGACCACAATGCACCGCGCACAGCGTCGGTTGCCCAGGCGATGCGCCGCACGCGTGCAGGCCCACACACCCTGAAGGCGGAGCCGGGGTGGAGAGGGAGTTGGCTCCTGGCCCACCCAGCTGCCTGGAAGGGTGCGAGGGCCGGCCTGCCCGGGCCCACCGAGGTTAGCCCAGGGTATGCCCTCGAACCGCAGTTTCTAGAAGACGGGGAGTCGCCACCCCAGGTGCCTCCCACTTCTTACCCCCACCCGGGGTCAGCACACTTTTCAGCTTTTGACAAGTGACCTCTGGCCTCGAAAGGGTCCCCAAAGCACCCTGAGGCAAGTCACCGATTCAGTCGCCCTAAAGGTCGTAGGGCTTGGTTTAAAACTCTGCTGTCTCATTCCTAAAGTTTGTGTCTGAAGAGGTCTTGGGCTTGAGAGAAGAGTGCGACCG